AAGTCAGCTAGATGACAAAGACATTGACTAAAAGAGCAAATAGCAGCAAATTGCCAGCAACACCCTGAGATCTCTCTCCAGGCTCAGTGGCAGCAGAAGAGCTAGCTGGTTGGTGGCCTTGAAGTCACAGCTGCTACACTCTGAAACACAGAAGCCAGACGCTGGATATTCCAGATGGTGTCTGTTGGGCTCCTAGAGAAGCAGGCAACTTGAGACCTCGTCCAAGAGCCTGTTGTGATGGTGACGGGTTTGAGTGCCAACCAGAAATTCCTGCACCGGGGTGGCTCTCTCCTTCAACATATGTCCCTGTGTCTCCACTTGGAACCGGTCACCTAGCTTGACGGCTCTATGCTGGGAAGGGAAGGAACTGATCAGCCTACGACTGCAATGCACAAGGGACACAGAAAAGCAGAAGCCAGTCGGGCAATTGCAGAATGAAGCTGGGACCGCCAGCCCCTCCAAAAGCGGCAACTGCTCCCATAAGTTAAAGGAGCAAAGGAATGTGTGGTGTGTGTGGGAGGAACTTTCTGTGCTGGGTCTTACAAAGTAAGCCTAGGCTCTGTTGAAGCCACCCTGTGCTGCAGGGAGCTCAGCCCAAGATGGAACAGGAAGTCAGCCATCTCTGGGGGACCGTGTCCAGGTACTGTTACATCCCACACTGGGCCTGCTTGCCATTCCTACCCACTCGCAGTTTACAGATAGGAAACAGTTCAGAGGAGAAGGCCACCTTGTGTCCTTCCTCTCCATCTCCAGAAGACAATTACTTTTCGTCTGGTAAACTCCATATTTGAGAGAAATTACCTTAGAGTCACTAAAAACTCTAAACTCACACTGTCTGCAAACACACAGCTCGTGTTAAATGAGCCTTGTAACCACGATACCATCAGGGTATTTATTTTTTAAATGAGATTTTTATTTATTTTTGAAAATTATTTTGTACCAGATTTATTGCTGGGTGGGCACGCATGATGTGTGCTTGTAATGGCAGCATTCAGGAGGCCAAGGCAGGAGTGTCTTAGTGCACTAAAGAAAATTACAGACCACCACCATGCATACTAGGCCCAAGAGTCCTTTACTTAAACTGGTGACTGAGTTTAGGCACTAAGTCACAAAGAACTCTCACCTCAAAGCATTTTTTCAGCAGATTATTCCCCAGCAAGGAAGACGGAACCCTTTGATCTGTTGAACATTTTACAAGCATTGTTCCTCAGAAGAAAGGAGAAACCTTATTTGTCTGGAAGGGAGGTGTAGGTCAGAGTAACCTGACTTTGAAAGCCTGGGCTATGCTGTAAGTATCCTGACAGCCTTTACTATATAAGGAAAAACTACCTCAAAGAACAACAAAAATGTAAATAAAGGCATAAATTTTTCGGCATTTCCTTCACAACCACTCAATCAACCTTCCCAACAAATCATGTCCTTCTCCATAAAAGGACAGATGCCTGCAATAATAACCTACTTCCTCCCTCCAAACTAGAATTTATCAGCTTGCTTGAGGCCCATGCACCAGAGTAAGGGCCCAGAAATGTCTGCAGAATGCATTATATTAAGAAGAACAACACCCAACAAGCCATAAAGACACTGTGGGCCTATAGGACTAAGATCAGAAAAGGGTATTAAATAATACTGAGCCCAAATGATAGCATCCTAGATATAAACAGGTTTAAAGCTATTTGATAGTAAATGAATTCAGGGCCTATGAGGAGTTCTAAACAGGTCATTACACTTGTTACCTGACAACCTGAGTTCGATCCACAAGACCCACACTGGGGGTCCCACAAGTTGTCCTCTAATCTCTACACTAAGTTGTATATACCCCTCCCACAACACACACACACACACACACACACACACACACACACACACACATTCATACAAATTAAATGAAATAAATGTATATGTTGATAGAAGTCATTTCAATTATGCTCACTGATTGGCCACTGTCATTGTTAACTCCATGTTCTCAGCACTAAAAATAATGCCTGAGCGTGCCAGAGAGGAGCAGGGTGATCGTGATAGAGGACAAAGACGAGTCTTCTCTTAGCACCCTCTGAGCTCCCTAACATGAAAGGGGAGGCACGCCTCTGTGCACATGTGTGTGTGACATACAAAGCATTTCACGTACAGTGGTTCAGTGAATGCTTCTACTAGCCAACTGTGATCTGGCTCCAGGGTGTGGGCCCTTGGCTCTCCATCTCTCACTGTACTTTTTACCCATAAGACGAGCCATATACAGAGACAAGCTGCCAAATCAACGCCTGGCAGTAGGCTTTGCTCCTGGGTTTTGTATCCCCCCCCCCCCCCGAATTAGGAAACTTCTCAAAACAGCACTTGATATGGCAATTCTCGGTTTGGCTTACACATCGTGTCAGGGCCAGAACTTAGAGCAGGCCGTGTGTGAACTCTGCCGAACACCGGCTCCCTCAGAGGCTTACGCCACCTTTCTTACCCAGCTCACGACCGGGTGGTAGGGTATGGTCCCACTCACACTCCTACATCAATTAATAGCTACGACAATTCCCTGTGCACATGCCCACAGGCCAAAGTGATCTGTTCTTCAAATGAGCCTTCTGTCTTGGGTTGACTCTAGGCCGGATCAGGCTGGCAGTTAAAGCAAGGGAGGACGAGAGCTAACAGACACTTTGTGGAAGAACACGGGCGTCAGTTTCCTTGGTCTTGACGTTCAGTTACAGATGCTGTGGGTCCTGGTGACAAATCTGGCAAGTTACTTTTAGGGTAACGAACAGCATGGGAAGGAGCTGTGGTTTAATGTCCTGTGTGCAGAGCCAGAGATCTTAAGAGGCAGGATGCCATCACTTCTCCAAACGCAGTGGCTTTACCCAATCACATCTGACAAAAAGTATAAGCAGACCTTTCTAAACCAAATTTAATAATAGATTTACACTCAAATATCTGACACATCACAGCCTTCCTTCCCCAGGAGGGAAAATGACCTTTCCATACAATCATGCTGACCAGGTAAGAATGTGGCCTACTTCTAGAATACAGTGTCCTGGATGGAAAAAAAACAAAAAACAAAACAAAAAAAAAAAAAAAAAAACCCAGAGCATAATCTACAGAAGCGTGTTACCTAACCCTCACCCAGTTCTCACGTGTGGTCCTACATATGACTGCATGAATCCTTCCAGACCCAGGGCAGTGATGACGAGCCAAGCTGGTCCAAGCAGGGAGGGACCTCCGCTGTGGCACTAAGTGCTCACCAGGATCCTGCACTCAAAGCCTGACAAGTGCCAGAGCAAAGGTCTAAGTGACCCAGCCCAGGTCCAGCCCGGCCTCCCACTTTGAGCATGGGCACAGACGCTGTGGTAGACAAAGTAACAGTAGTGTCTCCCCTCCCCTGTAAACAGTAGGTGGATGGCGGGTAAGACGTTTGGTTCAGCTTTCACAGTGGGACCTGCTTCACTGATGTTCAGGAATAGGCGCCAAATAATTGTTTAGGCGTCTAGCAAGCCAGTTATTAAAGCCAGCCATCACTAAAGATCAAGTTAGATAAGCTTAAACAAAGTATGTTATGAGCAGTTTTCCCGCCAGCCTGGCCACACTGCCACGTAAGCCCCAAATGACACACAGAGACATTGTACTAGATATAAAGCTCTTGGCCGGTTAGTAGCATTTCTTATTGGCTAGCTTTGTCTTAAATATTAACCCATTTCTATCAATCTAAGTGTTTCCACGTGGTCTTGTCTTACCAGAGAGAGGGTCAGGACCTCTTCTCTCTCAAGTCTCTACACCTTGAATCCCCTCCACTACATCTCCCAGAATCCTCCTTGTCTCCTAGACCCGCCTATCTTGCCTTCCTATTTGCCAACAGTGCTTTATTCATTAACCAATAAGAGAAACTTATTTACAGAATGACATCTCCCATCAAAAATACATTAAGTCTTGAGTATCGACTCTGGGCATTTTCCTAGTTAGACTACATAGCAAACTTGGCTCTTGAGATTTTGCTGGTGTCATCTATCCAGAGTGGTGCCATCGGTGCAGAGTGGCAGGCACCAATTACTCCATGGCCAGTGATGTCACACCACAGCCTGGGATCATATGAGGTGGGGACATTTACGTGGAAATGAGTAGGCATAAACCTGTCTCCCCTTCAGAGAGTCAGTTAGTAGACAGAGGACGTGAGCATGCCACACTTGTGCATTTCATACTTTCTGCTCTGGTATCTTTCATCTCTCCTCTGAATATTTCATCAGCACACATATGGGCCTGCACCCCACATGTGAAATTTAAAATAAAAATGCAAAAGAAAGCCTCAACTTCTTCTATTTAGCATCTCCCCTCCCCCATTACGTCATTGCTAGTTCTACTGAAAACTTTTTTCCTTATGGTTGATCCCAATCCATTCTTACGGTCCATTTTATTGTCCTTAATCTCACAAACATTTAAGTAATTATTAATCAAAGACTGCATCAACAACTTGGAGTCAACTGCCAGCAACACAGAGAAAGTGTCCACTGTAGTGAGGTAGTCCTTCTGTAGCACTGACCACGCCCATTGGGGGGTGGAGCGATGGGCGGAGGTGACCTGAGGAAGGAGGTCGGAGGGGGCGAGGAAGGCGCTCTCTCTGGCGTGACTCGGACAGGAGAGGATCGGGTTGAATTTCCTGGTGTTCATCTGTCTAGGGTGTAAGTTATTTCTCCCTGAATAAACATCTATTTGGCCTATTTGTTTATCCTGATCCTTATTTACCGCAATAGTCCACCCTTAAGACTAACGTCCCAGCCCACCACGAAAAGTTCCCAACCTATACAGTAGAGACCCTTGGGGAAGGAAGGACTTCCCAAAGAGCTGACTGGGTACTTTAGCTATGCAGACACCATGGGCTGCAGCTCCTGGAAATGCACGACCAAAGAAAGGAACATGGTAGAGGACCCAGCCAGTACCTACCTCATCAGGGGCCACACGGCCCCGGGGGAAGGGGGGGGCAGCCCGGAGCGACCAAGAAAGGACTGGTAGAGGACCCAGACAGTACCTACCTCATCAGGGGCCACACGGCCCCTGGGGACACAGGGAATCCGCTGCTCTTGGACTCTGGTGGCATTGGTGGAGGGCAGCCTCCCCAAGTGTCTTTGTGTGAGAAGCGCTGCTTTCTGCTCTCGCGGTGGTGGGCGTGGCCGTGCTGAGAGGAGGGCTGTTGTGAGTTGCCCTGACACATCACCCCGTTGCTCCTAAACGTTCACAGAATTGAGGACAAAACAAGTCAGGCAAAATGACAACGAAGCGGCCACCCTTGCTTCCGTAGCTGAGATTCCCAGAAGGATGCAGTTTTTTCTTTTTCTTTTTTCTCAAGCCCCCCATTTCTGCTATCTATAACCGTCTACTTTCAAAAGCATAATTACTGGCACATATTCTCTGTGCATGAGGCTAGGTTTTATGAGGATATTTGCATGTAAATATATGAGGCTCTTTAACTATACCCCCTCCAATACTTTCTGACCTTCCCTTTCCTCTCGATTCACTCCCCTTCATTCCCAAGACAGTCCCAAGTGAATTTTACACACACACACACACACACACACACACACACACACACACACTATAACCCACAAATGAGAGGAAAATACATGGTAGTTGTCTTTCTGACTTAGCCATGTGTGATGATCTCCAGATACACCCATTTTCCTACAAATGATTATCGCTTCTTTCTTCTCTATGGCTGAATTCCACTGTATATAAACACTGCACTAACTTCTGGTAAACACACCAGACAACGCTACATCTTGTTCATATGCTAGACAGGTTTTTTGTCGTTGTTGTTTGCTTGTTCGTCATGACCGCCATGCTTGACCCCACAGTGGCGGGGTTAGTTTGTAATCCTACCAGCTGTGTGTAAATATTCTCTTGTCCCCACAAGCTCATCATTTGTCCTTTGTTTTCTCAATGACAATGTAAAACTGAGTTTGATTAGGAAAGAAAATTCTACATGCTTGCACTTCTGATATCCCTCAGACACTCTTAGCATCACCATCCACACACGGAAACTGAGGCACCTTTACAGTTTAGGAGGAAGACCTCGTGCTCTGTGAGCTTCCTCTTTAACTGGAAAATTCACATGACTGTGGGTGAGTACCCAAATACCCAAAGCTGGCTCTAACCAACCTCCTGATGCTCTTAGAGCATCTCTAGAGCAAGCAGACAGGCTTCAAGTTCATGGAGCTCACTCAGGGGTAACAGCCATCAGAACTCGGGGACTCAGAATAAGCTGATAACGTATATCATTCATGGTATGATTTTCTTTGTGAATTAAGATCCCATCAACGGGACACAACAACCCAAATAAACTAGGAGTGCAGACTGGCAGTCAATACAGCTTCCTTCAATTTCAAACGTGACCGTTTTAGAAATCATGAGCCAAAAAAAAAAAAAAAAAAAACCAACAACAACAAAAAAAACTCTGTCAAGTTTATCATAACAAGGAAAGAAACTAATGCAACAACACATGTTGGAAGTGACTTACAACTTGTCCTGCTTGTGGGAGGGGGAGAAGAGGTCATAAACCAAGCACACTCCAAACACGGTGACACCTGTCTCCTTCACCAGCATGGCACAGGTCCCCAGGAACAGACTGAGCAGCAGGAAGAAGGGAGAAGCCGTCGGGGGGAAACAGTGCCCTGCGCAGCCCTGGTCCAGACTCCTGCAAAGCAAGTTGGGCATTTCCTTATCAACACATGGGCTGCTATGAAACAGCGCCTTTCAGGGATGTATCTCATGTAGACCAAGTCAGTGAGCAAAGATTTCTCCAAGAGCATCCACCATGCAACTGTTTAAAGCTGTTGAGATGGCGGGGTTGAAGAGATGGCTCAGTGACTGAGAGATCTTGCAGCTCTGCCAGAGGAAGGGAGTCTAGATCATATCAGGTAGCTCAGAACCCCCTGTCAGGTCCAGGAGATCCTATGCCTTCTTTGGGCCTCCTTGAGAACACACACACACACACACACACACACACACACACACACACACTTTAAAAAGAATCTTTAAAAATGTTGTTTAAATGGAAAAGAGTCCAAAAAATATCAACTTAGAACTGAATTACGGTACGCAAATTATGATGCAGTATGGTTTGTAATGAATGAACACTAAAAAAGTCATTTAAAACACTAACATAAGGATAGATTTAGTAGATAGGAAGATGCTTAAGCGAACATGTTTCAAGCAAATAACACACTTTGCTAACAAATATGCATGGATTGAGAAACCAAATTCCCTGGGACAAACCACAGATGTACAGTAAGCAAACAGGATATCATACGGCAGAAAGGGCACAATTAGCATGGTAGTGAGGGATGCATAAGTTACAGATGTCAAGTGTCCATCCCCATGATTAGATCAAAGTGTTTTTGCACAAGTATATGCGCACAACAGGAGAGAGAGAGAAGTGGCATTTCTCTCTATGATGGGAAAACAGGCTTTAAACAGTTTTCTTTTGACTACTCCCAAGTCCTGTCATCTTTATTCCCTACAGGAATTTTCACCATTTTCTCAGTGTTATTTTCCAAATTATAAATAACACCAGCCCTAGGAAGCACCACTATTTCCTCATGGAGGACAGTTACTACCCCTCTCCTTTGAAGTGAGGGCCAATACCCTGTCCATATTGTGACAGCTCCTATGTGTTGCACCTTGGAATAATTAGATAAAATTACATGCAAAATCGATGGCAAACTTGCATTCTCCGTGGAGCTGATCCAGAACTTAAATTTCTAAAAGTGAGCAGGGTGTATGCAATCAATCACCTGCGATGATCTGGCTCACACCCACACAGACAGGGTCACACTGCAAAGCTCGTCGCCACCAAACAGAAAACTTTAAATCAATAGATTGATTCCGGCCCAATACCAGAGCAAAGGGAAAACATTAAATCTGACCTTAAGTTTTAAGATTTCCTAACAGTGTCTTCACGAGTAGGAATGGAGTAGGCAGTGTCAAAGCTTGGGCCGGAGATGAACGCTACACTGGTCTGGCTCCACGTTCTTCCTCCTGAGGCTTCACGCATCTCACTCCAGACCGAGGGCCCCCACTGGACTGGACCTGCATCCTCTGCCACACTGGGGTTCCCCTGCCAGCTAGTTCTTTGTCGTGAGGTCTGTCCTACGTACTGCAGGACATCTGTCCAGGGCCACTTTTACTCTGTCTACTAGACAGGCGCCACTTCTCCAGTGTGACACCTGAGAGGGTGACGTCACACGGCCTCTGGCCTAATGAGTGCTTTAGGACATTAATGGATTCAAAGTCTGAATAGAGTACTGGACCATGGAATTGCTGAGGAAGGTCGGGCTTGCTTGGAAGTGGGCACTGACAGCGTTTCCTTGGAGGAGGCAATCTCATGCTCTGGACTTGTTATTGCTTCCCCCATATCCGTCCGCCATGAGGTTAAGGATTCATTGACACGCGCCAGTCACCCATGACTAAAACTTTGAGCCAAAATAGATTATTCTTCCTTTCGGCTGTTCTCTCAGATATTTGGGACGCAGGTATGCAAAAGCAACTACTATCCTAGAGGAAGAAGGGAAATTGTTGCTAATTCAATGCCACAGGTTTAGGACAATACTCTTAAAAGTGAGTCACTGGGTTTTTGTAAGTTACAGGTCATCAAACCAATCCAAAGGCCAAGTTTACCTATTCCTAGTCAGCATCTCCCTATGAAGTCAGTTGGTATAGCTGATCTGACATCTTTAGGGAGACACCCTGAGTGCTCTGTCCAAACTCACATTTTCCTAACTCGTTATTCTCTTCATGCGGATATGTCACAAGTCAGTTGAAAACGCCTTCACTTTGGAGATAAAGGCACAATGTAATAGAAAGAGGTTTCTTGTGTTTTGCCAAAAAGATTCCCAAGTGCAAAACCACAGTTAAGAGACGATGCTTTCCAGTCAACCTCATTATGTAACTGTGAGTGGCTGTTGTGAGAATAATAGAAAGGGGTAAAACAGGAACAAAATGAAGATAAATTAAACAAGCCAAAGGCAAACAGAACAGAGCGCATCTATTTTTGTTCACAGCTAAAGTTCTATTCTCAGCCAGGATCAACAAGCAAAAGAGTCAAGAGTTTGGATTCCCAGCATGGGGGCAGTAGTCTTTTAAAGCTGATGTGAGTGATGGACGGTGCCTCTGCTGCACAAGCATGAGACACGAGTTTGACCCCTAGCATACATCAAATGGGGGGGGGGAAAGGTATAGCCACCATGTCTGCAATCATAGGCCTAGGGGAGTGGAGATAGGCAGATTTCCATCAGGCTCTGTGAGAGACCCTGCCTCAAAAGATAAGGTGGAGGAAAACAATCAGTATCGACCTCCTGTCTCCATATGAACATGCACATGCATGTATAAGCACTACATGCACACACACACACACACACACACACACACACACACAATAGTGAATACTTCATAATGGCGTTAGAAAGTAACAGGCCAGCACTGGGTAAAAAGAGGGTTTCTCTCTGGTCAAACAGGGGTTTAGTGTATATGTGGCCGTATGTGAAGAAAATCACAGAAAGGTTTGCTTAGCCCCACTCACCTATGGTAGGAAAGAAAGGCCAGCAGGAAAAGGAGACACGCTAACACATCAGCTCTGCCCACGATGCCAGCCACCTAGAAAGTGTAACACAATGAAAAAAAAAAATGTAAAACTTGGAAAAATGATTGTCACAGTATCTTGTGGAAATGCATCTGACTCTTGACATGTGAACAGCACAGCAGAAAGCATAGTATTTACAGATGGCAACCTCCAATCACCTCTGATTATTATTACATAGGCTCCACGGTACATTTAGACAGAGGAGAAACGGAGAAACAAAGCTACAGAATTTTCATACTTATCCTTACTTCTAGGTTATCTTCCACAGAGGATCAGTTCTCAGCATAAAGTTCTATTCAGTTATTGACTCATTAAAACACACTTGGAGGGCTGAGGGCATAGCTCAAAGGTAGAGTGTGTGGCTAGACAATGCAATGCCCTGGGTGTGAGTCTCAATGAACCTTATCATTAAACATGAGTGCCAGGCCTTGTACTCATCATTGGAAAGAGAGGTAGTGATGGGCCAGAGAATTTACAGAGTAGAGGGAAAACAAAGCAGAGAAATCCGTATTTTTAACAATGAGGGGGGGACTCCTGATTGCTGAAGAGCATGTGTGTGTGTGTGTGTGTGTGCACAGATGTGTGTCTGTGTGGTTTCAAAGCTCTGTCAGTGCCCCATAATGCACTGCCCCACCTCAGACAAACACTGGATCCCTGGAAAAGGATCTGATTCTAGGCGATTCTAGGGCTGAGGCTTGGGGAAACTCAAGAGCAGCAAGGATCGTGGTCTCATGTCAGAGTCAAAAGGGAAAAGAATCCAAAAAAAGGGGGCTCCTGCTGAACTAGCCTGAGAAAACTTGATTTAAATAAGGAGCATAATATCTTATAAACCATTGAAGACACAGAAACCCACAGTCCACACGGATGACACGCGGGTGATGAAGGTTACAAGTGCATAAACACAAGCAGCAAATGAAAGAATGAACATGGGAAGACTCTGCTAGTTTATAAAAAGCCATCGTTGTGTGTGGATAGAACAGCCAAGCTGGAAAATAACCATTGGCTTCTAGAAGAGTAAAGGTTGAGTAGAGTAAGAAGCCAGAAATAGCAATCAAGCTAGGAGGGTAACTCAATAGTAAACACTGGTCCAGCAAGCCCAAGGCCCTGGGTTCAATCCTCAGCACCACTAAAATGAACATAAACAAGAGAGTAACAGTGACTCTAGGACATCTAAGTTACTTGAGATGCAAGGCATCTATATGACTTCAGACATTTCCTAACCAACTTAAGTTTTAGAAAAAATAAAAGAATAAAGACACTATGGAGAGGACATATTAAGACAGCACACCATATCCACCAAGAAATCAAAATGAAAACTATCTTCAAAGATAAGACAAAGACACAATGCAGGCCTATTCCAGCCAAGGATATATACACCTAATCACATGCATGAGAAAAAAACAGATAAATTCAAGAAGAGACACAATCTATAAGGAGGAGGATATAAATGTTATTAAACATAAATACATACTTTAAATTATAGCATATTAGTCTACATTAAGATATTATTACATTTTTATTGTATTTTTATTTATCACGATTCCTAATTATGCTACTACTGATAATTTATAATAATATAAAATCATAAACTTACAGGTCTAGTGAAAATATATGTTATTATGTACTGATAATGGTATTACATTTTATACATTTAAAATGTGTATTATTTATTTAAACACAATATATATTATTTTTATTTTCAAGGTGCACATTTTAATACACTATGCCTTTAAGAAGCATTATGCTCTATATAGTATATATTCATATAACATTAACAAGCTACACTCTAGTACACTAACAACATTTTATGCTACATGCATTTTAACATAAACTCTAAATCATATTGAAATGTATATATTGCATGATAGAAAGACAGTGCTCAGGACTAAAAGAGATGAAACCAAAACCGTGAATAATTCTCTCCATGTTAGGAAATACACAACTGAATTATTGATGTGTGAAGGAGCATCAATTATGCAGCCCTCTGTAACTGCTTCAGAAAACAAACAATATTTTTATAGAGAGGGAATGTCAACACAAAACCAGCAAAAGTTGAAAAATCAGTGACTCTTGATAAAGGACATAGAGCCAGTGTGAGCAGGAAACTGGAAGTTTCTTTAGAAGCGTTGAATGAGAAGCTGGAATGGGCATGCCGCCCTGGGCGATGAAGGGTGCTTTTCAAACCCTAACGTGACTGAGCTCCACAACATGTGAGCATGTTTCTCTTTGTTTTGTTTTTAATACAAGATATAAGATTGTAAAGGGTAAACAGGAACATAGTTTTTGTTTTGTTTTGTTTTTTAAGTATTGCTGTGACAAAGTATCATGACCCAAAGAAACCCCAGGAGGGTTAGGGTTTATTTCACCTCACAGCAGAACTCAAGGAGGAACCTGGAGGCAGGAACTGAAAGAGAGGGCACCGGAAGTCACTGCTTTCTGGCTTGTCCTCCAAGACTTGCTCTTACACTTATCTGTTTCTTATACTTCCCAGGACCATCTGCCCAAGGAAGGCACAGCACCCACCATGCTGGGCCCTTCCACATAATTCATCAGTCAAGAAAACCGCTTGCCTTCACGCCAGACTTATGGGGGCATTTTGTTCATGGAGGTTCCAGATGACTCTGGCTTGTATCAAAAAGAGTAAACAACACAACATTCCAGGAAGAGCTGGGCCAGATACTGTTCACATGCGAGATGAGTAAGGCTGACCTCTTGGGCACAGCAAACATTGTCACCCACGTCAGAGAAGATGCAAGGTCCATGTGTGCTGTAGAATCAACCAGCACGAAGAGAAAATAATGCTCATGGCATGCTATGTTATGAGCACACCGTACAGTCATGCGAGAGGTCATGGCATTGGTATGGAAGAAGCCCCTGACTTCTGAAACCCAACTGAGACCCCAGCTTCTTACCTCACGCATTAACACCCGGCAGCTGTTGCCAGTGAGGTAGCTAGGAGACGTGCTGTATCGTCGTGTATGCTTTGGAGAAAGCAGAAATGCTTAACTCCAGCAGGGCACTTCCTGTGTGCCTTATAGAAACTATCTTTTCACTTGATAACTTACCTATGTGGTATCTTTATTTAACCTTATTGGGTATGTCTATCGACTAAAAACAAAGTCTAAGATCTATGTGTATATGCATGAATTCACAGCAAGCCGCACACTGGGAGAATGTCAGATCCACCCTATACCACGGAAAACCTGGACACAGACTAAGCACCAAAGGGCGGCACAGAGCTGAAAGCTGTGATCTGACATGGCCACTTGGACAACACACAGTGTCCATTAATTGGCTGATCTACACGGAGCTTGAGAACCACATCAGAGACCCTGCCTGACTGTGGGGAGGCAGGTCACAGCTGGAGCTCAGATGGACTCAGTGGCCACTGCTGTCTTGGAGCATTTAACTCTGCATGAGCGCAAGGTTAAGAAGATGGCCCCACCTAGCCTGCCATGGGGCAAAGCCTAGAGAGACGCTCATCCCAGAACAAACGATGCGGCCAACTGTAACACAAGACCTAATAAAAAGCCCAGAGTCAGATGTAGGGGGGTAAATGCTGAGAGATCAGAGAGATGAAGGAGCAAACCACAGCCATGCCTTACCTACTCAACTTCCCATCTGAAAAGACACTGAGCTCCCCATGTCTTCCCACGCTTTCATTTCCTCTCTCTGACATCTCACTTCCTGTCTGTCTGCACAGACCTCCAGACCTCTATGGTTAGCTAGCTCAACCCTCTGATCTTCAGGCAAGCTTTATTTGTACAAACGAGATATCTCCACAGCCAACAGCAAGGCTCGCAAGTTGATTCTGAATGCAGCAAGTTAGAGTACAGCAGTCACAAGCTACGGAGACATAGTCAGTACCTGCAAAGTAGCTTGAAGCCCTGCTCCTCACTCTGAGCCAATCTGAAAAGAGCAGAAGGCGATCCCAGTCGAATGCACAAAGACATAAAGAATATACTGGCTGGGCATGCTGATTCGTTGCCTGTCATCCCAACACTGGAAGTGTGAGGCAGGAAGGTCGTGAGTTCAAGACCAGCCTGGGCTACATAGTAAAGCCTCACCTCAACAATAACACCATTATATAGACTCCCGTTAGCAGAAGATCACAGATGGTGTGACAGCGTTAGTGCTGATGCTAACAGACTCCTCGGGAGGCTAAACCACAACGCACACATTAAATGCCTACTGTGTACTACACCTGGTGAGCTGAGGTCTTGGGCAAAGTGTTGGACACCTACAATAAAGTAACCATCCCCTATCAAATGCTTGGCTACAGCTGCCATTTCCTGTGACTGTCAGTGAATGCCATCATGTCTTTATTGTGGTCTAGCTCCAGTGAGTGAGAACTTTCCAAGCAGGTACTATATGCCACTGTCGAGGAGCTAGGGGGGAGCTGCCTGCCTCAAGGACTTTAACATCTGCTGGAGTCAGAAGAGATTCTTAAATAGGACACTGTCAAGTTTCAAGCCCTGAACAAGGGGCTGAGGTGCCTACTTAACCTATCAAAGCAGACCTGGCTGCCAGCTTCTCCCAGCATCCCTCGGCCCCTACCTATTACAAGGTATGGCTGACATACCCTGCCCTTGACGCTGAACTCTCCTCCAGGTTAGAGGCTAAGCTGCCCTTCCCCCAGAGCCTCTTCCCTATGAAATCCAGACATTTTGGCTACCATTGCCCTCTTGTATGTTTGACCTTTGACCTCCTGTCTGCTGCACGAGGTTCCCCTTTCTCTCTTCTCCCTTCCCCTCCCCCTCTCCCCCTCTCCCCCTCTCCCCACGGGACCCAGTTCAACCTGGTTGCCCACTCTGGACTCTCCTAGATATCCACAATAATGTTCCTCTTCCACCATACCTAGTAGTCATGTCATTCCCTTTCCTTTTTATTTTATTTTATTTTTTAAGAGTTCAGACACAAGACCACATATATTACAAGAAGCAATTGTTGGCAGCAAGCATCACAGAAGGCCCAGCTCTGTAACCCAAGAGTTAAAGAGTCACAGAAGACTTCGGGAGTTTAAGACCAGGGGCATGAACGGGGACCAGGAAAGCCACTTATCACGCCCTCCTCTTGGAGGGTAGGAGACCCTGTGGTGGTTCTGGGAGGGTAGGCAAAAGTGCGCGTGCTGTCAATGGAGAGGACGCCGAGGACAACGAGCATCAGAAATGGAAGGTTAAGGTGGCAATGCTGTGGCAATAATGGCTGAACCTGCAGGTGGTCAGACGAAGAAAGCATCAAGGCAGTCCATAGTGGGCAGACATATTTGCACATTTCTCAGCCACAAGCTGCAGGCCTTCATCGCCAGGGCCTGTTACGTTAAAACTCTGTCAGCACACTGGAGGGTGCTAGTGAATATGACTGAACAGAATTTAAAACCGATGAGTCTCTCATATCCCAAATGCTTGGCACCAGAAATGTCTCAGATTAGAGTGTCTTCATGTGTATACAAGCAATGAGATGTCTTGGGGATGGGACCTAAGACTAAACACAAAGTTCACCTGTATTTCTTTCTATTTTATACACACGGTCTGACGGTGAACTTACACAACATTTCTAGCATCGCTGCGTTTCTGCCGTGACCTGCCACATAAGGTCAGGTGAGGGATTTCCCACTTGCAACACCTCAACATTCGAAAGGTGTCAGGCTTTGGAGAGTTTGGAATTTGAGAATTTTAGGTTAGGGCTGTCTGAGCTGTAATGGATGTGTGGACCTGTCAGCCAGGATAACAAAATCACAGGTGGGAAATGAAACGCCTGTTAGAACTTCATTTGCCTCCAGGTTATAGCGTGCTATTTAAGGAACGCTATCCATGGGATTTGCATCAAGTAGACTCTGTATAGAGTCACAATTATTTATCTTATCTGCAAGAAAGAGCCCCATTTGCATCCTACAGGGCCAGGAAAGTGAACATGCGATGGCAGCCAGGAGCCAGACCAACTGATTAGATCAGAGCCAATTCCCTCCTGAGTCCTCCTGTTCTGATTCTAGAAACGTTGGCTTTGATCTTCAGATTCTTTGTGCCTGGTTTTGCTTTCACTTCTGCAAACCAGTGGTCTCTAGGATGACCAAATTTAGAATTTCCCATTTTTTTTTTTTTTTTTACCCATGACAGAGAATTTAGGAAAGCATAAGCTTTCTAAGAAATACAACATGGGGGGAAGCCTGCCCAAGAATCTCCAGGGCTTAAATGCTTAAATGAGGCAGTCTGGCCCTGTTCACTTCCTGCCGGGCAGGACACTACCCTACTGTTACCATATGCACGCATTCAAATGTTTACTGACAGGCAGATTAACCAATGTGTCCCCTGCATGCTTAAATGTGAACTAACTTTTCTCTCCTGTTTCTCTTACATCGATTTGTGCATCTAGTCTCCTGCTTTCTACAAGCTTGTGTACAAACTAGGGGAGGCACCCTGTGCCCCATCCCTACGATTTCCTGGTACCTACAAGTCTAGCTTGTAGCTCGGCTATTTGCTAACTGCTTCACTTATAAAGCAATCCACACATCAGCATGCTGACACACACTCATAACGATGCATCTAAACCAAATCCCACCCCCAAATTTAAATTCCCCATCCTTCCTGGAATAACATATGGTCCCATTTTCAGTATGTATGTATGTATGAATATATACATGTATACATATATATATGTACGCACACACACACACACACACACACACACATATGTATGTAACAAAAGATGAGTGATTTCCCAGGATCCCCATGTCTTACTGTACATGTTTAATAATTTATCACTAAGTGTCTATGAAGTGCATTGCTCCTTCTTCTGTCTCTCTGTCCTCCTCCCTAGAAACTTGAGCTTCAATCTATAATTAAATAGCAGGCTCCATTTTGCTTTACAGTGTAAATGGTGTGCTGGGTCAGACCTGTTCACCTCTTGTCCTCACAGATCCTTCATCTTGCTAAAGCAAGCATCTTCCCAGTGTGCTCCTCCAAATAATGGCCCAGCTCTTCAAAACCTATGCCTCTTTAATTGTATTATTATGGATTTTTTTTTTTTACTAGCACAAAAGCCCCTGGAAACCCCTTTTAAAGGCCATTTTGCTAATAGGATTTGCCTTTTGTTTTCTTTTTTAGAATCCAACCTCTATCAGGTTTTGATCACACTGCCCAAGGTTGCCTGGCATATGTACTCTTCTCAGCCATTGAATTAAAACTCTAACCACACAATCAGTTGGTCTTTCCTGCAGTAGCTGTCCCCAAGCACAGCACAGCTCTGCAACCGTAATTTCCAAATCTGTCAAAAATATAATATCCTGGCCTTCGATATGGAGAACTCTGCCTGGAACAGAAGCCTTTGGTTATTTTTCTTCATATTATGTCTACAAAGTGCATTGGAAAGTTAGGTTATTTCTCATCTACTTAAGTTTATACATGAAATTTACAAGCATACTTTTAAATACGAAAAGAATCTAACCTCTCACGCACCATACATACTGACATTTCGAAATTAGGCTGCATTATCCCCAACGGAGCCTCAGCAGCTCCAGATGGCCCATCTCCTGTTTAATGCTTTTCTTAGCTTGTATCCTAGGTTGGCCTGGAACTCTGCACGGCCTCCTGGCCGTGAACTCCTGATCTCCCTGTTTCCACTTCCCAAGTGCCACAATCCCTGGCCTGGGCCATTACACCTGCTAGGTAGGGAGAGCCCCTCTTTTCGGTGGAGACCTCTGGAGTCCTCTCTTCCTGTGAACTTCTTCAGATCTACTCCCCACTCAGCATTTTCTCTTGATGCATTGCACGCTAATGTTTAAATGTACTTTATCACATTACCTCTCTATAATGAAAATACATATGGATTCTTATGCTGTGTGTGTGTGTGTGTGTGTGTGTGTGTGTGTGTGTGTGTGCTGCAAGGCATGGAACTTGGGGCCTCACACATACTGGGCAATCATTCTACCACAGAGCTATATCTATGGCCTTTAATTATTTAATTATTATTTTTAAATTTCCCGGGGTAACCATCTCTACATATTATATTTTAATTACCTATCGGCCATAAAGCTTTTACCTCCCCGTATGTAGCAACACGTATAAAAGGGACCAGTCACCGTTACATGACACAGAGCGGCTTTATGACATACACTATGCCGTCAGGTGCACAATAAACCGAACCGTTCTTAATGGGCTACAGATGCAAACTAGCAAAGGTTCCTGAGCAAAGTCTTCCTCGCACAAAATCATTAAACTTCTCATCCAGTCACTCAGAAAACAATCCCTAAATTACCCAAGTCCGTGTACCCCATGCGAACATTCTAAAAGCAGCGCCGGCGAGCAGAAGGGTTCAGAGATCAAGCTGAACGTGGCGTGGGCCCTTCAATTCACAGGATTTGAAAGGGCGGATGATTGGTTTAGCTGATATATGCAGACATGGCTGTTAAAGGCCAGTATTTCACAGTGTCCATTATACTCACCGCCTCCGTGTGGACCGGGTGCACCGCGAAGAGCAAGGCTGTGACAAAAGCCAGTCCGCGGTTCTTGAAGACTGTTTTATCACAGGTGTACATCAGCACGAGGGTCACCAGGCAGTGTAAAATGACATTCACCGCATGGAAGTAGAAAGGGTCCATGCCAGTCAGAAATACGTTTAGCCTGTTTAAAAAAAAAAAAAAAAAAAAAAAAAAAAAAGCACAAATTAAAACTAGAGAAGTCTGTGTGAGCCATAATCACAATATAAGCACGGGCGCTCCATCCATCATTTAAGAAGACAAGCTATTGGATAATAGCTTCCAGTAACTCTCAACACTTTACGCCCGTGGACAGGCCAGCTTCTCCCTATCTCAGAACTGGCTCGTCTACAGAAATCAATGCAGACACAGTGCATCGCTTGCTATTCGGGGAACTTGAACGGCTCACAGAAGGCAGAAAGGCAGGTATCGCTCCATGACTCATGAAAAAGCACTCCCTTCGTATTATTCTTGTGTTTACTTCTAGCCCAGGGGAGGGTCCCCAAGTACTGGTGTCCTGGTCCCTGGAGAGGAACAGAAAACAGGAAATTGCAACTGTGTCTCAGCCAGGACGAACTAGGCGTGAACATGTGCTCTCGGCCATGGTACCGCCAGGAACCATGTTTCCGAATTCTTCATCTGGAAGCGAGTCCCTTTGCCACCCCACACAGGGCTCACAGGCAATGCTTGCTACAACAAGGCTCCATCTGAGACAACACAAAGAGCAAGCTCACCATGAAGTCTTAGCATTTGTAGAGCTTTTCTTTACATCGTGTGCATGTCTGGGGGAGGGGAATAGAGTGAGTAGGCACACGTGTTCACACATGTGTGCCACTGTGCACATGTGTAGGTAAGAGTTCCTTCTTTTCCAAAGAGAGGATAAAGTTCTCTCTCTCCACCATGTGAGCCTCAGGATCAAACTCAGGTCATCAGGCTTGGCAGCAAGCCTTTATCCACTGGACCATCTGCATGGCCAGGGTTTGTTTGTTTGTTTTTTTAAACACAATTCCCTACTGATCTGAGGATCTAACTAAAGGAGAACCACAAACAGAAGGAAAATCATGTGCTCAACATCATAAAAAAATAAATAAAAACACCTTCATGGCACCAAAACATAGCAGATATGCAGATATATCTAAAGGTCACCTTTACAATAACAGGATAACCTGTCCCCAAAGTCTATGGATCGTTGGCTTTCAACCTTCCTAATGTTTCGACCCCTTCATACAGTCCCTCCGTGTTGTGGTGACCATCAACCATAAAATTACTTTCATCGCCACTTCATAACTGTAATGTAGATGCTGTTGTGAACTGTGATGCAACTATCTGTGTTTTCCCATGGTCTTAGGTGACCCCTGTGAAAGGGTCATTTGGTCAAATGGGTCACAACCTACACGTTAAGAATTGCTGATGTAGAATTATAGAAGAAAAGTATGTTCCTCAACAAAACCTCTTGCTAGGCTTGGTGGCACAAACTGGTAATCTCAGCACTAGAACGGTTGTGGGAAAGGACTAGTGTGAATTTGAGGCCAGTGTGGGCTACAGTTTAAAGCTGCTTCTCAAAAACCCCAAACAAAAGATACTCTTATCCAGGGTGCCTTAGGGGCAGTGAGCTCTCGGTAAGTAGTTTGATGGTTCGCAGCTGTCAGCCCTCCAGTCCATCAAACAAAACAGCAACCCTAGGTCTTTATCCGAGGGCTCTTGACCTAGTACAAAATCACCCTCTTTTCCTAAACAACCAACCAAGAAAGTACAAATCACCCTCAGAGATGGCGTACGTAGGTTCTAAATAGCTAGCTTGACTCACACACAACTTGGACCTTCAAAACTCCAAGCATCCCAAGCTTCGTTTGGGCACACACAAATCTAAACCCCACAGTCACTGGTTGTGTGGGATTGAGAAACATCACTACCATACCCAGTCCCCAGTTGGTGGCACTATTGGAGGAAGTTAAGGTTAGGAGGTGTAAGTACTTACCTGGAAGAAGAATTTGAGGGGTTTATAGCCTCCCTTACATCCTGTTCTCCTACTTTGCTTCCTGTGTGTAGATGAAAATGTTCCTGTTCCTATCCATCTTGCGGTCATACTTTCCCCGCAACTGTAGACTGTATCCCTCTGGAATTGTAAGCCAAAATAAACTCTTTCTCCCTTAAGCAACTGGAGACGGGATTCCCTGGAGCGAATAGGCTACGAAGACTAGCCATACTGGTGATCTCTGAGTGTAGGATGCAGAGGAATCCCTGGGAGTGGGTGTATATTGTTGACATGGGCACAGTAATGCCCAGGACTCCAATACACAGGAATGGCAAAGCTTTACCCAAGTGATGCTCACCTACAGAGACTTCCCTGCATTGTACCTAGTAAGCACACCGAGGTTCTGGGTGGCCAGGCGTAGTAGGTGGCTTCCATCGAGTGAGCACAACCCCATCTGATCCCAGCTTTTCTGTACCCCTGTCTGTATATCTTTCTTTGTTCCTTCACTGCCTGTAGTCAGGGTTCTGGGACTAGAGCAGTGCAGGTCATGGTATATAGGTTTGACTGAGACAGTGTCTTAACCAATAATGTAGAAGAATGAACTAAGGATTGATTTTTGGCATAAATCTTGAACTCCCACTAACACACACACACACACACACACACACACACACACACACAATGTTATTTATAAAATACAGATCTAGAAATGTGTAAAAAGATAGAGACCAATACGTTTTAGACAAAATGCTAGCAAAATTTCCAAACATTGCCTGTCTGTGACTAGAGCACAGTCTCTGGTTCTGGAAGCCAGTCCAGGCGCACAGAAGAAAGGGCTAACTGATTAAGTTTCATAATTTAATAGGAGAGGGGCTGTGATCGATGCTCTGCATCTATGTCTTAACAGAGACATTCATCAAAATATCTTGAAGTCTGCCTGCTGCATACATGACAGCCTAGGATGGATTTGCAGCCAACACAGAGTAGAGACTAATACATCAATGTCCTCCAGGACTGAGACCTCCAGTGCCTGTCACAGTGCCCTTGTGTTATCTCCGTTCTGCCCAATGCCTTTACCAACAGCTCAGAATCCACACATGCAAAGATTACACAATGTCTATGCTTTAAGGGCGACTCACTGAGATTCAGGGGCCAAGTGGCCACAAGTGTTCACGTCAAAAGTACGGCGGAAGCTAAAACTCACTGGGTACAAAAAAGGACAAAATACTTGCATGCAGATTGGAACTGCACACATACTGTACATGCGCACGTGCATATGCACGCACATGGCCCAGAGTGGGTTGTTAACCTTCACCTGGAACAGTTAATGTTCTCCAGCCTCTGAAGAGGACAAATCACCAACAGAGAGACAAAGAGCCACAGAACTCAACTGTTTATCAACTCAGTTTATTCAACAAGATTTGCTAGGTGCTAACCACACGAGGCAGGACCCAGGGATGCAAAGAGAAGATAATGTTGTCTACTCTTAAAGGGTTCACACAGTAGTGGGAGCAAGAAGGGAACATGCACAGATCGTTAACAGAGAGAGGCAGAGCTCCGGCAATGGAAGGGCCTTCCAGGTCACGGCTTCCAGGGAGGAAAACATTTTCCAAGTGGAAAAAGAGAGGCAAGGCCAGTGGTACCCAAGGTGCAGCAGCAGGGCTGTGAGAGAGTCTCAGACCCTGCGGTCACCTGCACCAGGGGGCTCCAGGATGGTGAGGGCCCTCTGAAATGGAATCTCAGGAAGCTGGCTTTGGGGACACAGGGGATGCTAGAGCTAGAGAGAGAGGGTGAAGAATGTGACCAGTGTGCAAGGGACATGATGTCTGTGGAGCTTACAGCATTGCTCTCCAGCGTCTTAGAGCAAGTGTCACCCATGGCTGTCCCACATTAATACTGAAGTAGATGATGGGTGGATGGATGGACGGATGAAACACTGAGACAATGCACTTACTCAAAGTCTACCCAAGTTGGAGGGAAACAAAATCTAAACACATTAGAAACAAACCCTCCCAGGCCAGGTCCTACCCCTGTAAACAGTTTCTTTTTGTCTTTACACCTCTTTTATTCTTTTAGTCAGACGATATCTTTTAAAAGATGTCTACATACAAACATTTCTAATTTATCTCAAAATATCAGAAGTCTTGACAACTCCAGACTGCCTTCGCTACATGGAAATACGTGGGTCCCTATCTCATTAGGGCAAGTGCTCGCAATTAGCCATGGTCTCTGGTGTGCTTCTAGTGAAAGCCACTCAACTGTGATGGCACAGGAGATAAAGAGACAGTCAGAATGACTATTGTTTAAAGAAAAACAAAGTATGTCCCTAGGAAAGGATGTACGAGCATGGTGCTAGTATTCAGGTGTCCGTACTGGCCTGTCCTTGGGGTTCTGACAGGATATGCCCCCATGTGCAGCCACTAAGAGTACCACCTGTGCACATTCACCGTGTTCCCTTTAAAAAGGGCCCTGCCCACCTCCCACCTTTTTTCTCTCTTTCTCTCTCGATTCTCTGCTGTCTCTGTCTCTCCCTCTACCGCTCTCTTCTCTTCCGCCATTCCTGTCTCCAGAGGCCCCCCCCCACTTCCTCCTCATGTCCCCCAATTTAAAAAATCTCCACCCAAGCGCTGCTGCGTACCGTCTTTCTCTCTTGTGCAGCTTTTTTTAAAATTACACCGCATGGAACTACAAGGTGAGGTACTATGCACCAAAGACCAGAAGCTCCGCCCCCTCAGTGACTCGGTCAGGTGGCACCTGCAGCAGCTGAGGTTCCAACCTTTACGGGAAAAGGAGCAAGAAGGCTTCCGCTAAGAGAGCAGCCCACCTGCACCCGTCATCAGCTGGTCACGTGGGGGACGAAACTCGGGGCCTGTGTACTGCACTGTTTCCTGAAAGGGTTGAGGAGACACACTCATCCTCAGGGTGGGCGTTGCTTTCCAAAACAGACTCCAAGATACAAAGAGATCCACGGACAAGGCAGCACCCGTGGGCCTCTGCTCCTACCTGAGTGAGTCCTTGGCTGACTTCGCAGCTTCTTCAGCCTTCCAATGAGGATTCAGCCTCAGCGGCTCTGCAGGGACCCCACATGCCTCATCATATCGGGACCGCCGAGGCATCAAGCTTCAAGGATCCAACATAACAACTCTTTTATACTGCGCATACATCCTATG